TATATATATATATATATATATATATATACATACACACACACACATACATACGTAGTTTTAATAATTAATCAATTTTACGATATAATAATATTTAATAAATGTAAAGTTTAATATCCTTGTCGTTTTATCGACAATGGAATGGAATGGAGAAATATTACGTACGTATCGTAAGAGAATTGGAAAGGTTTTTTCTCGTTGCGTCAATTTTTTTTTTTTTTTTTTTTTTTTACAAAATTTTCACGTAATTTGGATCATTTTTATCATCTCCTCTCTTTGAGGAAAGAGTTCGAAACGAACTCGATGGTGTGTCCAACGAAGATCGAGGGCAACGAAGTCAGGTTTCTTCTTTTTCTCTTTCTCTCTCTCTCTCTCTCTCTCTCTCGGCCAATATCTTTACAGAGAGCGAGAGAGAGTTGTATATTTTTTCGTCGAGTTCATCTTCTTCCTCGCCCGTTCATTTCGTCCGTTGCATCTCGAGAACACGAAGAAATTTCTTTACCGGTTAAACATCCATTCGATTACTTTTTAATCTTAAATTACTTCCTACTACAGTTTATCACGTTTATCGTCGTGTGACTCGGTTATAAATTAGAAATTAGAATTTTTCCCGAAGAAAAGAAAACCCGAGGATCGAAAGTTCCTTCGATTCGATTTTGAATTTTGAACGATCCTGTAACAATAAGTTTCGATCGAACGCGAGCCAAGTAATCCAGAGTAATCCGAATAAGAGAATTTTTCTGTGGAAAATGTTTTTTTCGAAAGAGGGGGGAGAGGGGGGAGGGGAGAGAAAACAAGGTAGTTGTACCACGTTGCGGTACAACGTGGAGATATGGTCGTTTTCGCACGCGCCACGCGTCAAGGCAGATAGACCATCCTTCTTCATCACGTCGTACAAATGTGTTCAACTTGACCCTGAACACGATAAATTGGACTTTTGGTCTTCTCTGATCTTAGCGGAATAAATCCTGGACTGGTTCCTTGGATCCACCGGTGATTTAGAGGGTTGGAACTGCTTTTCAATAGACGATGATACGATGTTCAACCAACTTGTCCAATCAAATGCCAAATGAATATTCGTTGGATCGATGGACGTGACTTCGTCTTACACGCTTATCGACGCTATTACGGAGGATGTTGTTTAAAAAAAAAAAGAACGTATTTTTGAAATTGTAATATTTGTAATCTTTTCGAAAAAAAAAAAATTATATCGTTTGAATCTTTTTTTTCCATCATAGAACGTTCACAAAATCTTCGATTCTTTCGTTCGTATTCGTATTTTTCCACGAAAAATCTTTTTCAAGTTTTTTCCAAGATTATCATCATATTAACGATCATCGCTCGATCGAAATCGATTTTTCGTTCGTCGATCGTAGTATTATCAAATATTTCCTATTTCCTAGTCTTCTTATCCTTTCTTATCCCGGAAACTTTGAAAAGAAAAAAAAAAACACTTTTACGCGTTGTAAATTCTTGACAATCCACGATAGGAATCCATTATACCATCGTATTTTATATTTTTCTTCTCTCGTCCAATCGAAAATACCGATCGAAAAATTCGTCAAAACGCAGCAGCAACGACGACGACGACGACGACGACGACGACGAACAACAACACAACAACAACAACAACAACAACAAGAACAACAAGAACAACGATACTAGAACGGCAAAGAAACATTGTGAAAGTTGTGGAAAATGTAAAAAGAAGAAGAAAAAGAAGGGAGGGAGGAGGGGGGGGGGACGGGGAGAAAAAAACAAAAGGGTTCGGCAGGGGTGGCGATACGAGGATGCGAGCGAGCGAGCGAGCGAGCAAGGCTCGGCGGGCATGGGAAGGCAAGGTAACGCAAGGTAAGGCGAGGTGCCCACGTCGTGTTGCGTGGACACCGGGCATCGGGCGCTCACGTGGCTCCCCACCTCTCGATTCGTGTGCGTGAGCCTGCTGCTCCCTTCCGACGCTCCTTTCGCCGTGGCTTCGGTTCAGCTTCCCCCACCCGAGATCCTCGCGTGGCTCTCCCCCTCCAACGGCCCTCTCGCTCTGTCCTCGAAAGCTCGAGTGCGATTGCAGCGCCGCCACGCCTGCCGCTCCGCAGTAACGCGATTGCTCTCGTCGAGTGTAAAACCCGTTCGCGGAGAGTGCCTCGCTCGTTACTTCGTGACACGCAACGCGCGTTGTCCCGCGTTGTTCGTGTCTCCTCCCTCTCTCTGTTCCTTCGTTTCCCTCTCTCCTGTGCGTCTGTTCTTTCTCCGTCTGTTTCTTTGGTGTGATTCGATCGGCGCGCACTGCGACTCGGAGAGTGTTCAGTGGTCGGTCTCGCGATAGTTCGGTGCTCGGTCGAACCGCGTTTTTTTCCCTTCTCTCTCTGTCTCTGTCTCTGTCCTTCTCCGTCTATCACGCAAACACACACGCGCGCGCGCGCACGCACGCACGCACGCACGCACACACACACACACACGCATACGTACACGTACGTTCTTTCTCTCGCACACGAATCGAATCGAAAGAACAGACGAGAGGAGCAATCGCAATCGCAAACGAAAAGTTGGTCGGTTGGTTAGTTTTGAATCGAGTTCAGTTTTTTTTTTTTTTTTTCCCGGAGTTTTTTGTGTTTTCGCGCGAAAGGAACCGCCGCGCGTCGTCCCCCTGTCTGTGTTGTGGGAGAGAGGAGCGGAGTGGTGGACTCGGAGAGTTGGAAAGCGTCGTCGTGAAACACCGATCGGACTATGCCGAAACGCGGCCATCCAATTGGGAAGCAGCGTGGTCGCGCTGGCCTGGTGTTTGGGTCGCCTAGCGGCGACTGAGTCCTGTTACGGGATGCTAAAAGTTCCCGCGGGAATCGTTGGTGGCGAGCGTTGTTGGCTGAAAGAGAAGGAGAAGGAGAAAGAGGAGGAGAAGGAGAAGAAGAAGAAGAAGAAGAAGGCCGGCAGGATGGGCGGGAGACGAGGTGTGCTGGTCCGCGACGTAGGTGCGCATCGCGACGCCGACGACGTGACGGCCACGTGCCCCCGCGGATATCTCGCTGGCTGTTGCCACTAACTGCTCTACGCATCGTACGTGGTCGAGCGAAACGGTGACCGTGTCGCTCGCGTCCGTGTTGTCGTTTTTTTGACGGCGTGTCGTTATAAAAAACAAGATAGTGTGTGATTCTTAGATAGATGGAATATAAAAGAGTGTGTTATTGGTGATATATAATTTTGGAAATATAATTATTTGCTTCGTATGCAAGTGCACAAGTGACTTCGAGAAGGATCGCTCTTTCTCTCTTGGTGTTCTTCATCGATATCGTTCACAGGGTCGTCGTCGTCGTCGTCGTCGTCGTCGTCGTCGTCGTCGTAGGAAGAAAAAGAAGGAAATAACGTCGTCGAGTTGTTGGATATTTTGTCGGGTCGCGAGGAAAAACGCGAACAGGTGGCACGCGTGATTTCCTCCTGATAAATAGATAGATAGATAGATAGATAGATAGATAGATAGAATATAATATAATAATAGAATTGAATTTGGTGGCTCGAGGGAAGCGATGGAGTTGAAGAAACTAGAAAAAGAGTTGTCGTCACCACGGGATGTTGATGATTCGTAGTCCCGCGCGAAACGAATATCTTCGTTGTGTGGTATCGAAACTCGAAACGCTCGATACACGAGGTGTATCCGTGTATTCCTTCCGTCCGTATCGAAGCTACTACGTGGTTTTTCTTTTCTCGAAGAATTTACACCGGCAAACAAGCAGAGAGGAAGCACGTACCGTGAAGTGTGTTGTGCGATTCTTTCGACCACGGTGAATTCCATTCGTAGTGATTAAACGAGCAGGTTCCAAGTGGGAACCAGTTCGTTACTACTACTACTACTACTACTACTACTACTACTCTGCCACGACGTTAATAACGACACGAGAAGGAGGGACTATTTACCCGTGGTAAATCGAAGGCGAAAAAACACGACGAAGTCGATAAACTCGACTGGTGGTGGTGGTGTGGTGGAGGTGGTGAAGGTGGTGGTGCTGGTGGTGGTGATGATTGGTGGTGGTCGAGGAAGAAGTAACCGAAGAACAGTGTAACTAAACTAAGCGCCACGAGTGAAGAAAAAAAAAGAAGAAGAAAAGAAGTAGTCGTCGTCGTCGTCGAATTGAAATCCTGTAAAAGGAGAACGAGATAGATATATCTATCTATCTATATCGTCGATTATCGAAAGAGGGAAGAAGGAACGAAAAGAAGGAAGGAAGGAAGGAAGGAAGGAAGGAAGGAAGGAAGGAAAAGAAAGTCTCGGGTGGAGAAATTCCCGCGCTTGAAAAACCCGACGATCATCAGGCCGACGGGAGTTCGAGGAGAGGGTGAAGGGCGTCGTGGAGGGGGGAGTGATGCCGGTGAGGGTGGCACAGCGCCCCCCAGGTGGAATACCACTGCACGCCGGCGTGCCGGTAGCGCCCAGCAGCGTAACCGCCTCCGGTCCGTCGGGCCGGTGCCTCGGGGGCCCGGCAGCGCCCCCCGCCGGCTCGCCACCGCTGCCGCCCTCCTTGCAATCGCTCGGCGGCGGTGTGAGCAACGCGAACAGCGCCGCTGGCGCGGCCAGCAACGGGTCCAGCAACGGTAACACCGGGAACACCGGCAGCATAGTCGGGAACAGCACTGGTCAGGGGGGGATCATCGCGACCCAAGGCGTGACAACGACGAGCGGCGTCACCACGAATCCCCTGCAGGCGATGGCGTCGGCGGCGGCCTCGCTCACCCAGCTCAACAACATGGCGAACGGCCCGCTGCCGCCGCTCGCGGCCACCGGGCCCACCGGCCCCCCTAGCCTGCCGCCCCCCCAGCCGGCCACCACGCCGACCCACGGGGGCCCGCCGACACCGCACGCCGGTGTCACGGGCGGGCCCCACCTGAACGGGGCCTCCCCAAGCCCTCACCCCATGCCGCCCCACGGGATGATGAGCGGCTCGCCCCACGCCCCCCACCCGCACATGGGCGGCGGCGGGCCCTCGCCCCATCCTCACCACCCGGGCCCCCACATGGTCGGCTCGCCTCATCACCCGGGTCCACACCCGATGGGCCCAGCCGCGGGTATGATGGGCCCGGCCGGTATGCAGCCCCAAGCCGCGCCCGGCATGTGCGGACCAGGACCAACCGGCCCGATGGGGCCCCACGCTCATCCTCAGGGACCCGGAGTACCCGGACAACCGCATATGCACAACGACCCGTTTTACTGCTCTCCCTTTGGATCGCATTACTTCAGGTAAATCGCACATCGCGAATCACAATCAGGTTTTTCGAAATTATCGAGGTTGATCGATCGTTTTTGCGCGCCAGGGTGCAAAGGTCCGATCTCTCTCTCTCTCTCTCTCTCTCTCTCTTCTTCTCTCTCTCTCTTCT